TATCTCTGTGGATGGTCATTCGGTTTTCGGCCCCTTACGGTCTCCGGTGCTCATGTGGAAGTTTTATGATTGTTCGGCGATCGAGGACTTATTCAAATTATAACCTCAGTGGCAGGTTAACGGAAGCGGCTCGAAGAGACATTTCACTCTTGGATCGAGTTATGCTTACTCGACCAGAGTGGGGGGACTAGATGATATAGGATATTATACTGGACCCGGTTTAATGGATAAAGTGAATACATTTCGGAAGATAAGCCCACGTGCGGACTAAAGACATATAGTACCGCGATATGGGTCAAGCCCAACTTGGGCCCAAAAGGTACACATCCCCTATAAAAGGGGGGTTAAGGTATTCCTTATTCTCATTCTCACTATTCATTATATACTATATTCTCTCTTCATTCCATTACTACACATTCTCTCTCTTGACCTGCGCACTGACTTAAGCATCGGAGGCCGGACGCCGGGGCCACCCCGGCGTTGGGTTCTGCAGGTACGGAGGCCGGTTCGAGTTGAAGGAGCCCGGGTGAATCCTATTCACTTCAGACACTTATTATGAATAGGAGGGAGTATAATACTCTAAACTGTTAAAAGTGGTCAAGAATTATTATTTTGATATAATATTTGATTTATTTTACAGTAATTCAAAATAAAAATATATTTTCAATAATAATATTTTTTTATAATTCAGTAATTCAAAATAAAAATATATTTTTAATAATAATATTTTTTTATAATTCTCAAATTAAATTATAAATTTAATGGTAAAAACTTTGTCAATTAATGAACTTTAAGATAAATCAATTGCATAGAATAAGAAAATATAAAACAAATAAAAATTGTAGAGTAATGAATAGTACCGCGCCAGATGCGCGATACTGTTCATAACTCTAAAGTAGTGCAGAGATGTAGCGCATCGGTGGAGAGCAACTTTGTCTCTACTCTAGCGCAACACTGGAAATACTCTTAGAATGACTGGTTGAAAATTTGTAATTATATTGATAATATTGAGGATGATGGAGTTAAGTTAAAGTTGAGTTACATTTTAATTATGAATTGAGTTTATTTATATACAAGTACGCCTTAAGGCTCCAATAAAGGAGAATACTAACTTAAAGAATGGAGACTACACCCAGAACAAAACACAAAAAACACTAAACCACTAACTAAACTAGAAATACAAAAACAACACAAGCACACATAAAACCTAAAAACAAAACGATTAGAATAAAACCCTACTCACAGCCGCGAAACTGTTCCATTACCCGACGTTCGTCACCCAAGAAAAACAAGCCTACAGCCCAATCACGAAACTAGAAACTCCCTTTTATCCAAACAAAGCGACGGCTAACTAGATCCGGCTAGGACCCGAACCCTCTCCCCTGAGACCACCACTGGACAAACACCGTGAAACCCACGAAAAATCCTCCCTTAGCATATCTCGACGACCACGACATAGATCGACTGGAGGCAAGGACCACCATCACCAGAGGAATCCGTCCTTTAAGGACAAAGGACAGAAAACAAGGAGAGAAAAAACGGAGGTCTAATTACAACCACAGTCATTGCCACCTGGGACAGGGAGAAGAGCTACAACGGTAGAAGGGCCAAGTCCATGACGGGAAGCACGTTGCCGCCCCTATGTCGACCATAGTCGTGGAGGTGCAGAACAACGACAGTGAAGAAGCGCAACGAGAAGACGATGAGGGTTGCTAATGAAATTGGGGATTTTGAGTAATTAGGGATATTTTTCGTGTTGGGGATCGCAAGCCTCTCCGCCCTTGGATTACTGTTAACTTTGGTGTTTTTACTATTTTGAATTGAAGTAATTTGTAGAAGTTAGGGATGCAAACGAATCGAGTGAATTGCAAGCTGCTCACAATCGCTCGAGTAAAAGTTTAGTTCGAGCTCGGATTTAACCGTGCATGAATCAAGTTCAAGTCAAACTCAAATGTGTATGTTGTAAGTTTTTAGTATTCGACATGCCGAGTTAACATTCGAGCTCAAGCTCAAACATTGATGGAAAAAAACACGTCGGACTCGAGTCAAACTCGAATGTGTATGCTGTAAGTTTGAGTGTTCGACATGCCGAGTTAACACTCAGAGCTCAAGCTCAAACATTGATGAGAAATGTATGCTATCATGCGGGCTATGTAAGTGATTACCAACTTGCTTATTGATTTTCACTAGAATTTCAATTCAACGCTCACAAGCTTTCACTCCATGTTCATTTTTCTTAATAGAAATTTTCATTGTGTGGTTTGAAATTAAGTGCTAATATGATAAATGTCTCATAAAGAGAAATGACACTTATTAGGAACATCTCAGTAATGTTCCTTTACCCACGGTAGGCACATGTTAATATGTCTATCACTTATGTGGCATGCACACATTGGTGATGCAAAAATTGCACACAAATGGCAGCAAAATTGCCAGATTTTTTTTTTTTTTTTTTTTTTTAGGGAAAGTCAAGTCTCCACTTTGACCTTTACCACCTCTTTTGCTATTTATAGGAGGCCATCCTTTTCCCTAAATTACTCAGACAAATTCAAGTGAAAGAAAAACAGCCATTATTGACCATTAGCAACATCAGCGGCTAATGGCTAAATAGTGTGATTGATTGAAGATTGTATAATTAAAAGTAGGTACAATATTATCTTGAAAAGTTAAAATGTATATAGACATTCATTTCCTTTTTACCTACAAAAGTTGGCAAATTATATAGGCAAACTAGATGAACATGATAAGTTTGGGAGAGTCTGGTTTGCTATGGAGCCATCGGAATGCTCGACTTATGGAGTCATCCACAGTTATTCACAAATAATGTATTGACACATGTCCTGTAATAAATGCACATTGAACATGTGTCAGTACATAAAGCTATAGATGGCTCCATAAAGGAGCCATCCGATGGTTCCAAAGAATTTCTGTTGGTAGAGTCGGGTTGGGGGAAAGAATTAGGATAACTTAATACCTCTCATGATTTGATACATCTCCCCACTAGCTAGAAAAAAATGGACGAGTACAAAATTACATGTGGATATGAGGGTTTTTTTTTTTTTTTCTTATTCTATGTTTGCATGTGTCAGAAATTCAATTAATTTAAAATGTGTTTGATTTCATTTTGATTAATTTTTACTGCTAAAAAATTGTTAAATTCTAACGAAAAATTTTACGAGCAAAAATTCATGAAGGAAAATCTAATAGATTTTCCAAAGGATTAATTTTATGTTTAATATTCCAACTAAATACTAAAACCATTGGAAAAGTCATGAGGGAAATTTTTTATATCTTAATTATCAGAAAACTTGAACTTAAATATTTTCTACACACACGTGCTCATCTTTGTTCGTCGATCGATTATAGATGTATCAATTTTTAGAAATCGACAGATCATACCTCATTTTGTTCGTCTTGTCATGGACTTTACAAGTCTTAAATCAATTTTAAAGATCAATTTAAAATTTATCATTAACTGAGTTAAAACTTTTTGTGCCATATTAGAGAGTTTTCAACCGAGGAGGCACATTGTCAATTTCGATTACATTAAGAGGCAAATTGTTAAAAAAAAAAAAAAAAAAAATCAATGGCAAATTTAAAAAAATGGCATACTTTGGGAGGTTAAAAAAATTCCCTAAAAAATAAGTGAGTGTATAAAATTTTGTTGGACATTGTGTGGTTAGGATTGTTTGATTATTATTTATTTATTCTAATAATATGGATGGGAGTCAATTAAGGTCAAATGAAGGTTGAATTTTGAGCCTCAATCATTCTGAAAAAATAAAAATAGAAAAAGAAGGTGAATTTGAGATAAAAAATTGTACCTAATCATTGTTCTGAATAAAAAAAATAAATAAATAAAATTATCTGTCCAATTAAAATCAGAAAAATATATCCAATTGGACAAGGCCATTGAAATTTTATATCAATATGACACATAAAGAAAGTAATAGGACCTTTTCTTTTAGCTTTCCAAGTCAGTCGATAGTTTCATAGATTTTCTAGCATTATTGAACTTCAACACAACTCTTTCAAGTCGCCATTAGGCTAATTTAAAGATTTGTTGGATGCATGGATAATAATACTATTAATTAATCAAACATATATGCGAGACAGTAAAATCACTTTATTTGTCATCTATGCAAAAAGGGGTCTCTCTTATTTTAATTCCACCTGCTAATGTTGAATATTATTTTCATTTTTCAAACATCCTTAACTTTTGTCACTTCTAAATTATGATTCTTATTATATATTTCGAGAGATGCTACGGTTTTGTTATGAAACTATTTCGTCGGAGTTTGTAACCGTTAGATTAACTATCTCCGACGATTACATGATCATCTAACGGTTAGAAACCTTAACGGAATGGTGCCGTAACGAGACCATAGCAATGATTTGCAATTCATTGAACCATGACCAATAGCAATCTCTCTCTTTTTTTTTTTTTTGGTACATAGATGAGGCTAGGCCCCGAGAATTATGAAACTAGAATGCGCCGTGGGTAAGTCGCCCCACTGATGTCACGGTCGAGCCAGGCCTCCAGTACTTGTGGAGGCGTCGGGATCCTGTGTAGTCCTAGCGGGGACTCAGCCGCTAGCTTCGCCATGTGGTCAGCTGCAAAGTTGGCTTCTCGATGTACGTGAAGAATTTGCACGTTCCAATTTCTATTCATCAAGCTCTGAATCGTTCTAACTATGGAATCATTGGCCCCAAGTTCACTCTGTGTCCCTAAAATCATATTCAACACACCTTGACTATCGACTTCAACAACAACTTGTCGATATCCTAAATCCCATGCCAATAGCAATCTCTTGATCACTAAGGAATGCCATTAAGTAATGTTAAAAGAGTTGGTTTAAATTTTAAGAACAAATCATCAAAAGCAATAAAGGGAACAATTAATAAAACCCAAAGTATCCAAACTGCATCAAAAAAATACATGTTCTTTTTCCTTGTCTTCCTCCTCTAAAGTACAACCTAAAAAGCCCCAAGCACAACACTCACTCCAAGAAAGTCTCCATAACGTCCTGGTACATTCCCCCTTCATTCCTATACTCCCCTGGATTGTGCACATGGTGGCCCATCGAGCTCGAGGAAGATATTCGAGCGGGCAATGTGAAGCTCCTCTTGAACTTCCCTTCCATATTCTTCGAGTAATTATTATTATCCAAGCTCAAGAACTCGTTCGGGTTACCGTTATTATTAGTGTTATTGCTATTACTATGATTGTTGTGCAAGCCCGAAGGGCCGTCCGGATTGAACAGGAGCTTGGCCTCGTCGGCCCGGCCCGTGAGAGCGCCAAAGAAGGATAGCCCACTGGGCCACTTGATGTCGTTTTCGTGGTCGGGCATCATGTGGGCCTCCATTGGGCCGGGCTCGGCTGAGTGGGGGAGGAGGAACATGTGGGTCTCGTCCTTGAAGGGTGGCATCTGGAGACGGGCCGGGCTCTGGAAAGCTGGGGAAGTGAGCATCGATGAGCCCGGAGGGATGGGCCTCGGGGCCCAGTTGAAGAGGGGAGGGGAAGGGCGGACGGGCATAGCGGGCTGCTTAAGTGGGCCCATGGCAGAGGATGAGGCGGGCCGGGTCGAGGAGAACAGCTGGGAAAGGTAGAATCCGGATTGGTAGCCTAAGGACTCGAAAGTGTGTCTCATTCTCAGGACAAAATGCAGGTCTTCTGGTATCTGAATCAAATGTAATATAATAAAATATTATCAATGATGTGATTGATGTTAATTGTATTGTTTTTTAGTACTAGTTTGGTGGAAAAGCAATTTTTAATTTTTTTACTACCAATTTGAGTTTTGAGCTTCCTTCCTCTTTCCTTTTTACTTTTCATATATATATATTTTTTTTCCTCTTGGCCTTTCTTTATCTTTAACATATGAATTTGTGGGAAATGCTACAGTCTCGTTACGAAACTATTCCGTTAGAGTTTGAAACCGTTGGATCAACTATTCCCGACGGTTACAAATCCGACGAAATGGTTCCGTAACGGGACTGTAGCATCTCCCTGAATTTATAATTTATTTTGGCTGGATTAACATAGGCAAATCCAAATCAAAAAATACAATTTATTTGAAAAAATTTCATGAATTAGAAGCATAGGAAACTCACAATTTTGCAGGAACCAAGTTGGAGAAGGCCATGGCCAGCTTGAATAACAGCTATAGTCTGTTAAAAAATCAATAGAATAGTAAATATACATATATATGGTCATATTAATACATTTGAGGAACAATATAATGATGTATGCAAAAACAAAAACCAAAGCCAAAAATCAACTGTTTTGAGAGACAGATTTAACTGACCTGAATCCCTGACTCAAACTGTTCATTCCACTCTGGAGGTAGCTGCAGTTAATAAATTGAAAACCAAAGGGACTTATTATTATTAGTAACTCAAATCAATCATTCAAACACAGTAGCTAGCAGTTTTTTTCATGACAGCAATAATTGGAACATTGAAAGTCTCACTTTTTTTCCTCAACCATATCATGTCATACCAAGAAAACTGGTACAAGAAAGAGGAAAATGCTACATTCTCTTTACCGAACCATTCCGTCGGGATTTGTAACAGTCGTGAATAGTTGATCTAACGGTTACAAACCCGTCGTGGATAGTTTAATCTGCTGCTTAATCACAATCAAGAAAAGAAAAAAAAAAAAA